TAGAAGAAGATCACATACGAATTTTGTTTATCTCAAATTTTGATTGTTTGCGATCTTTCTTCACCATTGATATTTGACATAAATAGAAATTGATAGGTATGCTTTCTCACCCAGAAGATTTCATTGTCAAAAACTAGAACTTTAAATTATATATGAGATAAAGATACACTCGAATGCGATAGAGATGAATACAGAGACACATATAGGTAAAAAATTAGTATCAGTTCGTGTTTTGCATATTAATTTTGTTGACTGAAAGTACACTTTTTCGAAAGTTCGTATATGAGATATATTTTTTTGTCGGAGTTTTAAAAGAAGAGCATCAGGTAAAATGCTTATAAGTTTTAACGAAGATAGCTAGACATCTTTGGTCTCCATCGTTCGAAAGAAGTGACCAGAAAACATTACCAATTCTGTTTTTCGAATGATGAAGACTGCATGTCTCTAGCTATCTTCATTAGAAACTTACAAACATTTTACTTGATAATCTTCTTTTAAAAGACGGGTAATAGTGCAGGAGATTTTGCGAGAGACTTTTCATTTTTGAATGGGGAAATGATATTTTAAGATTGGCTAATGACGACACACAAGTTTTCCTTTTGTTTTCAGGGTGACTTTCTTTTACCTGGTTTAGCAAATATCACTCCATCTTATATGTATGCGATTAGCGAATATCAACCAGTAGACAACTACTGTACTTGTGCTACTGATCTTAACTGTCGACAACAAGCACAATTATATGAATGTCATATGACGTACCAAAATGTCTATTTCGTTCCTGTCTATGTAGTATCAGGTTCGGTTTTAGGTTGTTTTAACATCGATTCTCTTCTGTCTTCGACACTCGAATGCTTGTATTCAGACTCCGACTGTTTGTCAATGGTACTCTACTACACGAATTATAATTCAGAATTGTAAGTAGATGAAGTTAGATCGAGATTAGGTCAATTCCTGTTGAATTTATTTCAGAATATGTTTTGTGCTTTTAATAGATATCGACATGTTCTATCGACTCCTATGATATATTTAGTTGCATCTCAAATATCTTTCTAGAAAATCCTTACGCACATTATTTTACTATCAGATTTTTAGAATATTAGTTCTATACTTATATTAGATCTGTTCTAGTATTTGCTTCAAAGATACATTTTTCGCGTGAGTCAGATCTAGATATATTGTATCTACGAGTCTATTATCTTTCTTATCGTTCAAAAACTATTTCAGAATATACCACCATAATATATCTACATGATTGTAATCGAAAGAGTTTCATCACATGTAAAAGGATTAAATATGATTGAACAAATCAAAAGGAAATAGTGATTATCAGATAGGCGATTATAATGAAGAACGATCTGTATGATCGTCGAACGCTATTATATGAAAGCCGCTATATTTTCATATTCAATAAGTCAATATCGACTTGAAATTAGAATATAAACTATGAAATAAGATTCCAAACGAATTCAACAACAATATACGATAAAGCTTGCTACAAAAAGCCTGTATATTAGCTTGTTTTCAAACAGTTCATGAGGTCTCAAAAATTCTAATTATGTGTTAATCGATAAAGCATGTCGACATTAACTGAAAAGAAAAACATGATTTCTAAAGAACTTCTGAATAAATCCGACAGGAAACTATTTCAATATTTATCCAACTTCACATGTGTATACTTGTTTTCTCTATTAGCATATCGAAGTTCAATGTTCCCCCTTTGGTTTATGATGGAAAATTAAGCCGTTTTCCACCAAATACTGCAGTGTCAACAATAGTTAAAGAGCTCATGGTCGAACAGTGGAACTTTGCATTTTCATACGATCTCTACTGGAAAGCATGTGCACCAGCCTATTGTACTTATTCTGCGTCAGCATTCAAAAATAATTTCGTTGGAATAATAATTACAATGATATCTATGATCGGTGGACTCACAATGGCACTAAAACTGATCACCCCTCCACTTGTCAACTTCATCTATTTCTTGCTCGTACGAATGGCTAGAAGACAACATCAAGGTAATTGATGATAAGATGCCTTTACCAAAATCATATATTGATATATTCTATAAGTCTGAGAGATACGTAAGATGTGAATATTGACAGATGAAATGAAAATCAAGATAATTGTATGGTTATAAAAACTATGTTTAGAAGATTCTGGTTAATAACATTTTCAATCGATTATGAGAAGTTCTTCGTATACATCTGAAAGATACCACACTTTTCCATTACATCTATATTTTCGAAATTTGAAGTGAAACTTTGCTTAAACAGGAGATCCCACCTAGACTAGCTTGCAAGAAAGATTCAGAATTTTTCGACAAAGTCTCTTTCGGATTCAAAGATTCCAAGAATAGACTCTTTTTTCCTACAAAGTGTGTATAGAATACATTTTTCGAAATCTGCATATTTGAAACAGACTTTGTTGATAACTGAGGATGCCTATTCACTTGTGTTCGCATCTGCATCCACACTAACCTATACCCACACTCACACCCACATCCACCCTTTTCATATCAATCAAGAAAGGAATGAAAGACAATACTGACTAGATATAGAAATGATATCGAAATAGAGAATGTGTATTAGTACAACATCACTGTAATAAAAGTGTAAGACGTTTTTGATCATTCTCTCAAACTTATGTAGCTCAACAATCGAAGGTGCTTTTTCGTAAAAAAAGTATAACATTGATTTTTTTTCTGTACATAGTTCGTCCGAAGTTGACTGATCGGCTGAGAATGGCATTGCCGGGACTACGTACATCTGTGTCTACCAAATTGATCAGTCTAAATATATTTCCGTTATGGGCTTTCGGAAGTAAAACTAACCGAATAACAGCAACACAACTTGGTCGAATAACCACTCGTCTTTACATTGTCTTGCTCATTATTAGTTTTGTTATCATCGTCTTCTATACTGTTATTCAACCTGAAATTCTAACGAAGACATTTGATAAACCATCCTTCGATGTCTATAATCGTCTTGCACGCTATCACGGCAATACACTTGAATGCTCTTGCTCAGTAATTTCATCAACATATGATCGATATGTACAGACTAATGTTACGTTTCATCAGGTTAGGCAAGAAAATTATTTGAACTTATTTAATATCAAAGACAAAAATAAATCAATGAGATAAGCTACAAAATACATATTTATTTTTTGTTAACAGAAAAGGATATGTTATTCATCCCATAGCTGTATCTATGCAACAACTAGTTGGGAAAAATTAGATACGTGCCGATTTTTAATCAGTTTTTGATTGAATTAAATACAAATCATCTTTCTATCAGTTATTTATATAACAAGTTCTCATCTGAATCACTTATAACTGGCTTCTTAATCAGAAACTATGAACTCGATTTCTAATTCTAATCGTTTGTAATCAACATTGTGAACAATCGTCTAAAGCTATTTTCTGAAATAAGACATCACAATAATCTATATGATTAATCGACTAACCCATCATTTCATGTTAGGTTAACGAAAAAGAGTAAAAACAATTATCAAATATTTTAATGCATTCTGTGACATATTTATTTTCTATCAAATTTTCTCTAAACTTGTTTACGCACGAACGTTTTGTAGAAGACATGACAAATCTCAAACTATGACTAGTGTTCACTATATCTCTGGTTCTTGATTTCTTAGCCGTTTTTAAAATGAAGGGACCCAAAGGAATAGTTGAATATATTATATTAACTGAACTTCTAAGAAATTTATTCAATTTATAAAAATTTTGACACACAGATTTCAAAATTAGTACGAATTTGAGATTTGCCACGATATGATATGTTAATTCAAATTAATGACTAGAATCGATTAAACTACGACAATCAGTAACGCAAACAGCAAGTAAAATAAATATTTGACATCAAAATGAGTTATTACCATTGATGATGATTGACAATAAGACTTACGAATAGAATAACGTTACAGCAATGAGTGACTCAAAGTCTGTAGAAAAACGTTTTTTTATCAGTTTTAATTTAGTTAGAATAAAACTACAAGTAGTACTCTTGACTAATAGTCTAATAGCTTAAATTAAAATTAGTTCATGATATTATAATCAAATTTCTATCAAGAATTATTCGATTATAATTGAATTTTCCTTTCAAACTTTTTGAATAGATCACTCAAATAAGTTTTCTTTTTCTTTTGAATTTTTCATAGATCTGTTCGAGTACATTTGCTTCGAATGAATGGCGTGAGAATCTCATAGCCGGTCTCGTTCCTGATCTGTCTGTCTATAATACAAGGGACTATCGTCGTTTCCTTCCAGCCCATTTGCAATTTCTTAATGAGTTATGTCAACTTTCCATTCAAGCAATAAATAATTCTGTCAATCAATTTCTTTCTTCTGCATTGGTTAGTGCTCAACTTATACCAGAAACAATTCTTCATCAACAGATAGATTCTCTCATCAAACAGAATAACCTCAATACTCCCAGTACAATTGCTGGGCTTCTTTCCCTAATTCTCTCTATAAATCATGGAAATTCAATTATATCGACGTATCAAACCAATTTTGAGCTCGTAGCACCTAATGTTGAAATTAATGACGCGTATTACTACGCCATTACTTATGATGATGAATGCTCGTGTGCGTTATATGCGACGTGTACAAGTCAAGCAAGTTTCATAAATAGTAACTCATCTGAAATCATACCAATTAAAGGCTTCAAAATAGGCTGTACACCAAGTGAATCATTTCTCCTTTCGACTCTCGAGTGTTTTTATGATTCTTTGTGCATCAATCTTATACAAGAACAAGCAAACTATGATAGTAGGATTAATACCACAAAGACTCCTATTTCTCTCGTGCAAACTAATAGTCGATTCTCAATTAATACAACCGTGAGGGATATTGTCAATGCCCTTTTCGTCGAAGATCGATCTGCAACGACCAACTACTTATCGTACTTCGAACAATGTTCACCTTCAATATGTTCATATACTTACACCCAACAGATCAACTCAGTCTACACAGTAGCGTTTTTAGTGAGCATCTATGGTGGACTCACAATTGCTCTCAAATGGATCTGTCCTTGGCTGGTTCTTATTGTGACGAGAGTTAATAAGTATCGGAAGAAGCATAGAAATATTGTTCAACCTGTATATCCTGTCGATACGACAACCACTGAGAGTATTAACAAAATATCTATCATCACAAACGTTCAACATGGCACTACTCATATCGAACAAGTATCTACGGCTGCAACAACTAAGTATGCCCTTTTTCCTTTTAATACCCATTATTATCTTCAACGCTCTTTTTTAGAATTTGTTGCCTTTCGTCGGTACTTCGCTATCCCAAGATTGTCTTTTGCTGTATATTGTTCTTGATTTTCACAGTGGTCATCATTACTTCTTGTTTTTATTTTATTCGACAAAGAAATAACCAAGCTATATCAACAGGTAGAATCGTTTTCTAAAACAACGTTTTCGATGGTAAAAGTAACTTAAGAGAGGGTCCATCAGAGGACCCACTTACTCCCTATATGTAGAGCCGGCTACTGTAACTTTTTCGATTTTTAGTTGAACTACCGAAAACGATAGACCATCATTTGAATACACTAAATCTGAAATATTAACTTTTTTGATGTATTTGTGAAAAATTCCAAGGCATACAAAAGATAGTACTCTCGATTCTCTAGAGGATGTGTGGGTGTGAATGATACATTCACGACACTCGTAACAACACCCACCCTATATATGTCCAAATGAATTTTTTTCGAACATTTTTCTATTAGTTTCTCCAATGAACACAACAAATTTTGCACATATGAGTGTGACAGCAAAGATTGGCACAAGCATGGCAACTAGTACGACAACGGCAACATCTACGTCGACAGGTTTGTGGATTTAAAACTGTATCATTGTTTTCGTCCAAAATCTTTTCTATGAATGAAAGGTAGAATAAGTGAAGTTTTCAAGACGGTCTCAGATGAATTTATTCTGATCGAATTCATGGGAAAACCTACCACTATATATATGACCATCTCAGTATCGGCTAAAACTTTCAGGGTCTATAAAGCTCAGTGCGCTGCTCATTTTGGTATCAAATTACCATAGGTTTTGTATGTAGTTTAGGTTAAAACCAATCAAAATATAACTGTGCAAATATAAAATATGCTAAAGCTGAAAAATGCTGATTATTATGATGATGGCCGTGGATAAAAGTATTATGCACCCACATCCGCATTCACACTCTCCTCGACTGGCTGAGATCTATTTAAACCGAAATTTTTAAATCATTTCATCAAGTTGTTCTCTAAAAATTCTCAAATGACGACTAAAATTAGTCGTATAAAGTCGGTAAATAAATATCTAGGCTCTTTAGCGGACTAAAATCAAAACCGGGCGAAAAGCCCTGTATATCAGAAGATAGAGTAAGCGACGCTCTACAAAACCTACTATATCACCATTCACTCAAACTCCTTAGGGACTTGCTATTGCGAGACTAAGTTTTGTAGTGGCCAGTCTATGGTCTTGCTAATAAAAAATTCACTTTCCACAGTAGATCTATTTAATTTATAGATGGTTCAATAAGAGCTGAACACGGGCTATCAGAATATATATAGATTATTGTTTTTTGATTCTGAAACCATGGAGAAAATGTTCTCATAATAATCAACATTTTCCAGTTCTAGAATATTTTATGCTATATTTGCAGAATCGTATTTTGACTGATTTTTACCTAAACTACATACATACCTATGGTAATTTGATATCAAAATGAGCAGCGCACTCAGCTCTATATAAACCTTGAAATTTTCAGCCGATTATGAGATGGTAGTGTATATAGTGGTACGTTTCCCATGGTTTCACTCTTACCTAGGTATGTCCCATCAATAGGTTGTAACTTCAAAAAATCAAAGATTTGGCCGTTTGATTTATAATTTTTTATAACAGAGAGTATCTATTACGTTCGTCAAACGAGGTAGTCATGCTTGTTCTATCAAATCCTTGATATACCATGTTAACTACAGCCTTTCGTGCCTTATTTACTAATTGAAAATTTAAGTAAAAAGAATTGCAAATATTGAATCGAAGTTCTGATACTTTTCAACCAATTTCAATAACAATAGTCAAACTATTACATCTTTCACGTGCACTAAAATGAATCAACTCCGAAATAGTTGATTGAATAAGTGAGATAAGAGTCAATAGCTTCACATATGTAGACGCTCGTCAGATGAGGAAGTCCGTGTAAGCCATGTATATGTTTGTACTCAAATGCTTTCAAGTCAGGTGTTAGAAGCAACCAAACTGCTTTCTTTTTGTTAGAATCAACTTGTCAATTGACGTTTGGGTCAACCGATCTATACGCAACTAGTGGTTTCTATGTAAATCAGTTCGCTGCTGGCGATTTCAATGGCGATGGTTTATCAGATCTTGCTCTCTGTGTTCGGCACAGCTCAGCTGTGAATGTGTTCCTCAGAAATGAAAATGGGACTTTTGGACGACGAATGTCGTATCCAGTGGTAAATAAAGGTGTACCGCTATGGCTCGCTGTCGCTGATTTTAACAACGATGATAACCTAGATATTGTTGTTATCAATATTAACAGTATTGTTTCAAATACGGGCGTGTATACTGTAGGTATTTTATTTGGAAATAGTAATAGAACTTTTGGAGCAATGAAAATATTGCCAGTGGTATTGTCAGCAGTAATTTATAGTACAGTAGTATATCTTCGCTGTATTACGAGTGATTTAAATAACGATGGTCACATGGATATCGTTCTCACCAAGAATAATAACCCATGTTCGATCGCTATATTACTCGGATATGGGAACGGAACTTTTGCAGCCGAAAAGATAATCTTGATTGGAAATGATGGATGTCGTCTATCAATTGCTATTGCAGATTTTAACGACGACGATCATCAAGACATCGCTATAGTTTCAGATATTGACTACTATGTAGCGCTTCTAGTTGGGCACGGCAATGGAAGCTTTAAAGCATCGATGATATTCTCCACAGGAATTTATAGTTTTCCATCGTCAATAGATGTAAATGACTGCAACGATGACGGTTATCTAGACATAGTCGTTGCAAACACAGGTAACTACAATATTGGTGTACTTTTCGGGAAGGGTGATGGAACTTTTCGAACACAAATAACAACTATGACGGAACACACTAATATAGTAACCCAGATTGTTGTCGGTGATTTTAACGGTGATGGTAAAATGGACGTCGCTGGCGTCTGTGGATTTGACAGCGCTATACTTCTTTCTTCTATACCAACATTTGTATTTGTATTCGTTGGATATGGTAATGGAAGTTTCGGACAACAAATGATATTTTCGACCGAGCTTTTTTGGCCGGACTATGTTATTACCAATGATTTTAACGGCGACGGTCGATTGGATCTTGCTATTACCAGCCAGTATGACGGGAATTTGAGTATTCTATTGAACACATGTGCTTGTTGCGCGCTTGAGATCTCAAATCAAACATATTTATCCACCAATGATTTTCCTGGATGAAAAATATGGATTTTATACATTCTTTGCGAGAAGGTTCCATCCGCGACAAATTATGCTGTACATATAGCTTTTGCTTATTTCATATTAACTAAAAAAAACAATCTCTGATTTCCTATCACAAATATTCAATATTTTTAAACAAAATATGCTGTACATGTAGCTTTTTGCTTATTTCATATTTATCTGAAAAATAAATGATCTCTGCTTTCTCTTCACAAATATTCAATACTTTCAAAGTTAAAAGAGGATAAATAATGCGATACATTCATATTACTATAATGAATATATTCGTATACACAATAAGAAATGAATATGAAAGATCATATAATGAAAAAAATAAACAAAGGATACAAACAAAAGAAAACGAAGAAAAGAAAATTAAATAATAAACGAAAAATTGACAATGAATTAATAGATAAGAGAATGTGGGTGCGAAAGCAAGTGAATACTCACACCCTCGTACCCACCCACTCTTAAGATCGTTTTACTTTTACAGTATACTTTCAAAAATTATTTGTTACAATAGAAAAAACAAACACCTTATATATATCTCAACAGTGAATTAAATGATTTGTATACATCCCACTGAACATTCACTAGGGATTAGCTTGACATTAATGTCGATATGCAATATTCTCTTGCTCTCTTATGTTTAGTTTTACGTAATAATAATAATAGTATATAGTGAAAAAAATGTGTTATTCCGTTTTTGAGGATATCATATATATTTTAACAGAGATCGACAACAGTTGTTAGATCATAGTTGAATTAGATTAGATGCAGCCAAAAGTTTTATAAATCATAGTAACTTACGTTGTTTGTTAGAAAACTTAGATAGCAATTACTAGTTCTTGATGATTTTCGAAGCCTACTACAATGTACATATTTGTTATGAAATATTTCAGTTAAATATCCAATTACTCAAATTTTAATATGACTTTACTATATTAACTTTCACATGATTTTGATGATTTCAAAGTTAATAAATTTGTAGTTTAAAAGGCAGATACTGGTGTCCAGAATCAGTCATCTCTTAGAATTCCGCATCCATCATAATTGTAAATCGTGAAAATGAAAGAAGATCTCCAATGTGTTTTTTATATTATACTCATATAGTGAAGACATTATGGTGTAAGTATCGAATGAATTAGATAGATTAATTTTTGAGAAAAAAAATGTAAGTTGTCGTTTGTTTTATTTCAACGTTTTAAAAAAACACACGGATAACAAGAAAAACACAACAACGGTTGAATGAAACGAGAAAGAAAAGAAAAAATTGTTCTGTTGCTTTTTTTTTAAAGTGTATGAAAATTATTTCTATGAAAACTCAGTGTTCTTCTATCACTCCATTCTCTCAAATTTTACTATAAAGAAAAAGCGATTATTGTCCACCTGGACGCAATGATGATAAGCCAGCACGAAGAATTTCATCAACAAGAATTAAATTGGTTGCAATTGATGTACTTGAGTGAATTAATTGTTTTTTAACACGATAATTATCATAAATACCTAATGATTTTGATTCCATTGCTTCACCTGTTGCAATATCAATTCCAACTGGTATCATTGATGTTGTATATTCATATTGATCATGTCCAGCATTTTGTGCAATTGCTTTTGGAATAATTAATAATGCTTCAGCAAATGCTTGAATACCTAAACGTACACGACCTTTAACTTGTTCTTTTTTGTTGAGTAAGTGCATGATGAGCAACTATTTCAAAAGCACCACCACCAAGTATAACATAATCTAAACAAAATATATACTTCAAACATAAAAGAAAAAGAGAATCTCAATTCACCATCTTCAATTGCATTTGTTATTGAACGAAGACCATCACGAAGTGCATCTCTTTAAGTTGATTTAATATATATTTTGTTGAACCTTTGAGTAAAACTGTTACGGATTTTGGATTTTTACAACGCTCAATAAATGTAAATTTTTCTTCACCCTACACAATAGAAAAAAACAATTTCAATCATTAAAAAGTTAATTCAAACAATTAGAATATACCAAAGCATCTTGAGCAAAACCATGGCAATCTTTTGTTAAATTTTCAACTGAACTAATAAATATGAAAAAACAACAGAAAGTTTTATATTTATCTTACTTCATTGCTTCTCCTCCACATGATAATGTAATACGTTCCATATTTCGACGTTTAGCACGTCTTAATGCTAAAATTCCATCTTTAGCCAAGATATCAAGTGACAATGGATCAATGCCCTTTTGATTAACAAGAACAAATATTTTATTTTTATCATCACCCAAGCAAACTTTTCGTTTAAGTTCAACTATTTTTTGAACATGATCATCAATAGATTTACGTTCTGATGTAACAAGACGATCACGTCCTTCAGCATTTTTATAAAAGAAACCAGCATTAACTTCTCTAACAAAAACAAGTTAATATAAAAGCATTTTTAAGTGCTTTTGGCATAGATGTATGACGATCACCATGATCAAGAACAATACCACGTACAAGACGTGAATCACCTTCAGTACGATGTTGCATTTCCATGATTTCAACCATATTTAAATCCGTTGGTTTACCTGGTTCATTCAAAGCTAATACAGCATCAACAACAATCTACATACTTTTAATTACAAGCATCAGTAAGAATATCAGCATTTTCCATAGATAATTTTGTACGTAATGAAGTACGAGCTATTTGAACGAGCGTTTCACGATCATTGTTTATAGGTATTTTTCAATTATCAAGAATTTGTAACGCTTCCTTTTTTGCTAATTCAAAACCGTCACCAACAATACGAGGATGAAGACCCTATATATAAAAAAAACAAGTTTTTGTATTATTTTACCTCAGAAATATAAAGATCGGCTTGTTTGAGTAATTCACCAATTAATAATACAATTGATGTTGCTCCATCACCAGTTATATCATCTTGAGCAGTTAGATGTTGAACTTGCTATTTAATAAAAAAATGATTAGAATATGAAATAAAACAATCCACTGAACAAAATTAATACAAACCATTTCATGAAGAAGTGTACATCCATCTTTAGTTATTTTAATATCACCAGCACCTGATACAAGCCTAGAATATGAATAAATGAAACTAAAAAAAAGAAATGATTTCATTATTATACATACATTTTCATTGTTCCTTTTGGACCTAAATTTGTTTTAAGCATTTCTGCTAAACCACGAGCTGCTGAAATATTAATAGCTAAAGCTTGTGCTTGACGAGCACTTTCAGCTTTTGGATTTAATGTTGTAATAGCCGACATGATCCTATATTCAAATTTATGATGATGATAATATAATCTAAAAAAAAATGTGAATCATTAATGAAAAAAATTCGACATAGAGAGAGATCAACAAAATACGGTTATAATATCTTGACTAGATGAATAAATTTATTGTTCCATAGATGACGTCGTTGTTGGTATCGTTTGTATACGAATTTCTAATGCAACATTTTCTGAATTATCTTCAATAACTGTTAACATTGATGATGCTATTAATGAACGTTGTGCCATATCACGTAATTCAGGTGTTGTTTGAAAGACATGTTTAAGTTGTGGAGGTGGTAATTGAAGAAGTAATGGAAATGAATGAGGTCGAGTTTTTTGACAACATTTTATAAAACCTTCCCATATTCGAGCTTGTTTCCATGCTTGTTTTGTAATAAGTCGTTGTAAAATATTCATGACAAAACTAACCATTTTTGGATAGAAACGAAGTGCTTGTAAAATCATTCGCATAAACAAAACGGGTATTGGATTAATATCAACAAGTTGTTGAATAACAATAGCAAGAACATCATCATGAGTATATATTGCACATTCATTTAGACAGAGTGTTGCAGCATTCATAACAGTTTTTAATTCACATTCTTCAGATGAAATTTGATGAAGAGCAATCAATAATTCAAATGGTACGATTGGACTAGCATGTGATGTTTCAGATGAAGCATTAAGGTCTAAAAGTCGATTAAAAACTTCTTTCACTACTGGTTGTGTTAGTTTGATTATTTTGGTAATGCACTAATAATTTCTTTCTGAAAATAAATCATATATTATATTTTATAGATAAAATAAAAATACTGTACCTTATCTAAGCCCGTAAGTACTGGTATAAGAAAACGAACATCTGATACTCGTTTATGATATAAATCTCGTACTTTTTCGACCAAAGCAGGTGATGGTGGAGCTTGTTCAGTAAGTATATGAATAATACGTATAATTAATGTTTGGGCACCTTTCGGACAATTTTCAACTAATTTTAATAATTCGGGACTATTCATACCCATTCCACGAACTGGAATTTCTAAAACACGAAGGATTACTCGTTTAATATCACCATTAACTGCTGTATAGATTGTTTGTCCAAGTATCACTAGGTATTGTTGAAGTGTTTTTATCTTCACCAAAAAGTGCTTCTGGTGGTTGTGATGCTGTTAAATGTTTCAAAAATTGTAAAGCATGTCGTTCAATTGGTTGTTTAAATTCTTCTTTATCATGTAAACTTTTAGCAATACGTATTGCATTATTTCTAACAGATATATTTTCATTATGTGTAAAATCAAGTAAAATATCCAAAAAATTTTCACGCATATTCATTCGACGAAATATAAGATCGCGTAAAGTATTCATACCAAGATAAGAACACGTTTCATCTTGACAATAACGTTTAAGTACAAGTAATGCATTATCTGTAATTAATGGAGCACTTGTTAATAAACGAGAAAATAAACCATCACGTTGATCTGGTTTTTCTTGTAAATATTCAAGTAATCGACATAATGTATCATCATATTTAGTAAAATCTTTCTTTTTATTTGGATCTAATATACTTAAATATCCATTTGCATAAACATATTCTTGATAAAGTCATGCAAATGCAAGATCATGACGTTTACGTACATCAGCGAATATATAATCTTCATAAACTAAAAATAGAATATAAATCCAACTGTATTATTCTGTTTAATACTCAATGAATAAACATTTTTCAATCAATAGTAAAGTCTACATTTAAAGTTATGAAACAACAATTGATCACTTGGAACTTGTATTGATTGACAATGGTTGCTATGAGTAACGGTTATTATAACAGTCTATTCACTAGCTCTTAACTTTTCTTTTCACAGAGTATGGAAGGATAGAAAAAGCTTAGAGTTACATTCATATCGCTATTGTTCTGCGAAAAATATATCTGAACAATATTTAGAAATCCATCATACTTACTATCACGAAAATTTCGTTCGGATAAACATACTAACGACGTCATTGTTTTTTTTCTTACATGTCCAACACCAGCCGTTTCACAAACATCTACACATAAATAATTTATAAAAAAAAATAATAAATAATGAATCTGTTGACATACGTTGCATTTCATCATATTCAGTTGGTTTAATAGCATCAGCTAATTTAAATGGTTTCATTTTTTCTGTTGTAAACTTGGTATTGTTGACATTGTTGTTATGCCAGCAGATGTTGATGGAATATCACCAAGTTCATTTCCACTACTTGATGGTAAACTTGATTTAATGTCAACATCAGTTGGTGGTTTTACCTGCTGTTGAGATTTCATAAGTTCATAACCCTTACCCGATCCAGCTGCAGTTAATTGCGTACCAAGTAATCGTACTAAATGCTCAATTTGTGCTAGTGTACCAGCAGCTACAATTGGTGTATAAGTTGCTTGAAATGATGCTGGCATTTTTTCAGGTAATAAAAACATTGATACAAGAACTAAATCTACAACATTTCCAATAGATAATTTTCCAACAAGATCAGCAGCTGTTATATCAATTGCTGTTTGTTGTGGATGAGATGATGATGAACTAGTTAAAGTTGATGATGCAGTTGAATTATATACACCACTTGACGAGATTCCTTTTCCAGTTATACTACTATTTGAATCATCTTTATCAAAATTATTTGAACCATCAGCAGTAGTTTTTGATTTTTTTGTATTGCTTTCACTATTACTTAATGTTATTTTACATTTAGATCAGATGGAACTTTAAGTAAATGTTTGAGTACTTCAACTCGTATTGCACCAAGATCAGTTGTTAATGTTGTAATTTGTGGTTGAAAATCAAATGAAGTAGGATATTTAAGAAGACTTAATCTTGAGGGTGTGGGTGAGTATTATATTTACGACACACTCACACCCTCGATTAATCCTGATCTAGTATGAGAAATCAAAAAACATGAAACTCTATTAGAGGATGTGAGTGATCTTCCAGATGTATAATGGATGAAAGCAATACAATTATATTCTTATCCTTTTATTGTCAACAGAGTGTGAGACATGAAAAAATTTATGGAATAGAAGAATTTGTGTATATCAAGAATAGAAAGAATTGATATTTGTTTTTTGATTTTAGAAGTATTACTTGAGAATAATATTAAAAATAATTACACAAAATTTGAAAAGTATATTATAAGATTTACTATAGACATATTATTTAACACGTTAGCGTTTATGGCTGATATGAATACGAATATAGTATGAAAATAATGTCTTCAAAACTGATCATTCTCGATAACTTATTATCTATAGTAAAGAAATGTTGAAACAGTAACATAAGAATCAGTCTTGTAGGCATCATTTGGTTACTATCAATATATGTGAAAACTTTGAAAAGAAAACTACAATTCTCAACCAAGGATCTATTATGTTAAATCATTTATAAAAGTGCATGTAGATTTAATAACGAGAGAAAATTCTATTTCTGAAAATCAATGAAGATGAGCTTTTGTTTGAAAGAACGTTAGTACGTATTCCTGAGAACTATATATGAAGAGAAGAAATTATTTCGTGTCTTTAAAAGAGATAGAATGCAACATTTTCTTCATATGTACATTTACATAGTTCAAGAAATTATTTCAGCAGAAAACTGTTAAGAGTTTTTCGATATTATTCTATTAAAATCATCGTTCAGAACAAATAAATATTTCTTAGTAATGAATTCGACAGATGTTAGAAAGTGGGAAATAATTTTTCTCAACTTCTTCAGATAAACTGAATGATTTTCTAAGTATTTGAAAATCTTTGTTTCTAATACTTAGATCTATCGATTTAATTTATTGCTTTTAAATAGAAATTTTCTTTTCTTATACCTTAGTTCGTCGTAAAAGAACACATTCTTAATCAGCGTAAATACTATATTCATTATTCACTCAATGACGTAAAATTCGTTTACTGTCAAAAATCTTAATTTTATTATTTTTTCTATTAATCTGGAATATAATACAACTTCATTGGCCTATGGTCAAACAGCATTAGGTAATCCAACAATCTTACATAAAAGAAAAGATTATTTAAAACTTTTCGATTTTATTTCAAGGAAAATCACATTCCATGTTTGGTTCATCGAGTGAAGAGAGTGGCTGTGGGTGAGTTATGAGATAAAAAGCACCCACACTCACATCCAACCTCTTGAACCTCGATTTGTTCAATTAAAAAAACAAATTATTCAAGGTTACGAACAACAAGTTAAAGATAGTTGGTATCATTTACTTGATTCGTTGAAACATGAAATTACTATTATTCGCTCTTCAAATCAGTCTATTATACCTCAAGTTAATTTCAATGATATGAACAATCTTTCGTCATACATTAAAAATAAAATAGAAACTCGTGGTGTTATGATCATTCGTGATGTTTTACCGAATGAGTATGCATTAAAACTAAAAGAAGATGTACCACCAATCGACGTTCTTGTCCTTTTCTTTCCAGGTTCTTGTTTTTCTTGATTTTCAGGCAGGATTCTTTTTCTATTCCTTACATGCAAGATTCTTGCCTGAAAATTTTTTACATACAAGATTCTTGTCTGAAAAAACTGATCTTGCCTTTCTTGTGATATTCGTGTAGACCGAATCTTGTCTGATGAGGCAAGAAATTCTTCTTCAAACAGATTCTTGTTCTCTTATTTTCTTGCCTGATTCTTGTTTTCCTTAAATTCTTGCCTGATTCTTATCTTTCTTACTTTCTTGCCTGATTCTTATCCTTCTTGATTTTCTTGCCTGTTTCTGATTTCTTAGGCTTCTTGCCTGATTCTGGTCATATTAAAAAAGCCTTTTTTAGGTTATTACTACCTTTTTCATATCGTTTTATTATAAGCATTTCACAACATGTACAAAAAAATACGAAAGAACAAAAAAATACTTTAATTTTCACATATTCATGAAGTAGTTTTAATTTTTAACACAAAAAAAAATAAAAAACAAAATTTTTATTATTTATTTTCTTAAAATTTTACTTATACGAAAAGGATTATCAACCAATAATTTTTTAAATAAATCAATATTTTCTTCGTCCATTATATGTAATACTTTTATCGATAGTGAAAAATCTAGAAAAAAAAAAAATATATAGATATGAATTGGAAAAATATCCAAATATGTTCAATAAGGATTGCCTTCAATAAACAATGAGAAAATGGATATCATATATTCTATTGTTTTCTTTATATGAAATAAACTTTTACTATGCATCCAGTTAAAATAATAACTTCCTAGATGTCGTCCAAACTAAATAAACGCTTTAAAAAAATAAAATAGTATAAGTGAATGTGTACTATACTTATTCAGTCAGTAATGATTATGAATAAATAACGGTCAGCCAATGCTTTTATATATGTGATAAACAAAGACCATATCACGTGCCGTTCATCTTGGAAAGCTGGCAAGAATATTTTTTGCTTTTCTATTACAAGAATCTTGTCTGAATAGTAAGAAATTTAAAATATCTTGTGTTTCTTTCCAGTTTCTTTTTATCATGAACTTCAGTCAAGATTCTTTTGAAAGAGAAGAAAAAGATTCTTGTCTGAATATTAACATATCTTGAATATCTTATAATTCTTGCCTGATTCTTTTATTTCTGATTGTTCAGACAAGATACTTGTCAACTGAAAATTCTTGTATTATTCTTTTTACTTTCCTGTTGAAAAGAATCTTGCCTGAAGACAAGAATCTTGTCAGAAAATCAAGAAAAGCAAGAACCTGGAAAGAAGAGGACAAGAACGTCGACTAGTGACAAAACTATATTAAATAGAATCCATATACAAAAGCATTTCTACAAGATAAACCAGTTTTTTATGAATTATATTGGTCACCAGCACAGATTCTTGCTCGAGCTGATTGTCGAGTTCTTGAAGCATTAAGGTTTGCTAATTCATTTTGGCATGCATCACCTGCAACTCGTATCTGTCTGCAAGAGAATATTATGTACGCTGATCGATTACGAATTCGTCAACCTGGTGATGCTCAATTTGCTCTTGGACCGCATGTTGATGGTGGTGGTATTGAAAGATGGGAAGATCCAGAATATCGATCGTGTTATTCATCTATTTTTCAAGGTCTATGGGAAGAAAATGATTTCTTCGATGCTACTCATCGTGTTCGTGCACAAATGTCTCTTTATAATATGGCAGGTGGTTGCTCTGCTTTTCGTACTTGGCAAGGTTGGCTCAGCCTTTCTACAGTCAGTCCTGGTGGAGGAGGACTTTTAGTTAATCCACTACTTAAATTAACCACATCTTATTGGCTTCTTCGGCCTTTCTTTCGACGAATAAAAGAAAATGATTCATGGGAAATTGATGAATCAAGTATTTGGCAAGGTGCTGTTCCTGGTCGTGGACAAGAAATGACTGACTCATTACATCCTGATTTAGAATTGTCGACATCAATGGTTTCAATTCCTACAGTAAATCCAGGTGATATGGTATTTTGGCATTGTGATACAATTCATGCTGTCGATCCAATTCATGGTGGTCAATCAGATTCAAGTGTTTTCTATATTCCAGCTGCACCTTTATGCGAAGTTAATGCTGAATATTTGGTTCGACAACGTCATTCTTTTGAATATGGTATTCCTGCACCCGATTTTCCCGGTGGCAAAGGTGAATCTAATCATATCGGACGAGCAACTACTAAATGTGTCAATACAGTTGACGCTAAATGTGCAATGGGTCTTGAACCATTCGAAATCAAACCACATATGACATCAGGAGAAAAAGAAATGATCTTGCATGCTAACAATCTTTTAAATCTATGAAGTTTGTATAAATTAAAAACTCAGTTGTATACCATTGACTATTAAACACATGATAAGTAATTCTCCTTTTTGTATTCAATAAAGGATATTATAAATGATACTACTATTTAAAAAATTACTAACTTTAATCGAAGGTTCGAAACAAATCAAATGTCTACTACGGTATTAAATATATCAACTAAAGATGTGAGTCATCTATCATATTTTTTGACTTTGGTTTTACTTTTACTGTATACTTTCAAATATTATTTCTCAAACAGAAAAAACAACCAACTTATATATATATCTCGGCAGTGAATTAAATGATTTGTATACATATCACTGAACATTCAGTAGGAGCGTGGGTGGGTGTGGGTTAGGGTGAGTCTCTTCTTCACTCACATCCACACCCTGCTTAAAAACAAATTCAAATGCAAAGAGACATATTTAAAAGAAAACTACATTGCATGATGCTAATTGAAAACTAACAATTATTTATAAGATATAAGCGATACTTGGAATAATGATTGTAATGTGACTTATAGCAGTAGCAGAAACCTAAAATGGGGAACTAGAAGTTTAGAAATGTTTGATAAACAGTAGCATTTAACTAAGAAAAACTCTAATTCGTAATAACAAACAAGATTTTCATTGATAATTATCTTCTTTAATAAATCTTTCAATGATTTAGCATCTTTAAAAATATAAGTTTCTCGTTCATAATTATTTAATATTCATTTTTTCCTAAACTGATAAAGTGTATCTAATAGATGAAAAGATATTGTGGCACCTATGATAAAAGAATGTTGATCATTAATATTTTTTCTCAATCAGAAATTGATGAAAACCATATAAAACAACTTATTTCTTTTTGTAATCATTTACGTTATAAAAACGTTTTTAATCTTTTTGTGCAGTTTAGAAATGAGTGATTCTTTCTTGCATGCATCCATTTGTATATGAATCTCTTACATGAGCTATGATTCGATGTGAATTATTCATATTATGTAACTACAAGGCTTTATATGGATTTATAATGTCTTTTTATACATTAAACCGACATAACAACATCAAATATCCTTCGCAATTTCTCGATTACATGTAAACAACTTCAGTTTTCACTTGAAAAACTCGATTTAATAACTTTTTTTCTATTATGTACATTGTCATGAAACTAAATTATTTCATTATTATTTGTGTTTAAAATATTTATCTCGCTTTTCTATTCACCCAAGCGTTCTTTTTTTTGAGCGTAGAGAAATTTGAGGATCTGGGTGTGGTGAAGATGTGAATGTGGATGTATCTTTTCTTTACTTACACCCACCTATACCCACATCCCCTCATTGTGAACAGTAACTAGTTTAGATTCAGCAACATTGATAAAGAATACACCAATAGTTGTTCATGTTACTATCATTTATAGTTCTCTTGGAAAAATAACTAAAATAGAATAAAATATTCGAAAACATTCAACATAATCAAATCATTGCATTGATACTTCTATCTGAATGTATTACATTAATTATTGAACTTTAAATTATTGCAAAATCGATTTTTATTTAAAAGATGCATGATCGCTGTTGGTGTATCCATGAATCATTTTTTCATTATGATCTAAAATGACTAAAAATTTGGCGATAACAGATGTGAGAATAAAGAGAATATAGTGTATCGTTGGAAATAAAGTCACAGCGTCAATAGAAATCTCTTTTTGATAGTTATTTTTTTCTTTCTTATTCTCGTCGATAATCCACAAATACTGTGTCGGCATGGTTCTTTTCCTGCTTGTTGATGAATATTGAAATTACATCTTGGTTTTGAAACTGGGTGTGGCTGCGGATTTTAGAAATAAACTGGTCGAACACTCATAATTTAAGATATAAAATATAGTTGTTGTTAAAATTATCATTTATTCAAAAAGGTTTTGAACAAATATGATAGAACTAGTACACCTAAAAAACAAATTCGAATTCAAAGAGGTATGTATGACAGAATAATAGAAACTGTTTATTAGATTTGAGGAGTAGTTGTAGTAATAATTGCAATATGACTAACACTAACAGAAATAAAAGAAAAATAGAAGTTTAGAAATGTTTGATAAGTCCAACAGTTTTAAATGGACACCGTCTAGTCAACAGAAACTTTGATTTGTAATAATGAACAATATTTTTTATTGATATTTATATTCTTTAGTGAATATTTTCCATTGTTTTACATCTTTAAAAATATAAATTTGACGTTAACAATTATCTGATATTTGTTTTTCTTGCTAAATTAATAAAGAATATTCAATCGGTAAAAAGATGTTACTAATCAACATTTTTTCTTAATCAGAAATCGATAGATACTATCCTAAACAACTTGTTCTTTTTGTAACTACTCACACTGTAAAAACACTTTGATCATGCTTCCTTGTATTTATCCATCTATAAACTATACTAAAATTTAGATATTGTTCTATTTGAAATAAATATTCTGCGCAATTTCTCGATTATATGTAAACAACTTCAGTTTTCACATGCGAGACCTTGAATTTAATAAATTCTTTCTTCAATATATATTTTTGTCATTAAACTGAAGTATTTCATTATTATTTGAATTGCAAATAATTAGCTCTCTCTTTGAATAAGGACAAATTTTTCACGAGGCAACAAAATATTTTCATATTTATTATAAAAGTACTTTTACTGACCGATATTTTTGTTTTCCATAAATCTCTGTCATTTTGTCAAGTATTTTTTTATATGTACTTTTTTACAAAACATAAGCGAACATTGCTCATAACATCTTCGATACTTTTTGTATAAATTGTGTGAAAGATTGATGTATCACGATCATCATTATCCTAAAATACACAAAAATTAATTTTAAAATGTAAAACTTGAGTTTTATATGTATAGAATTCGAATAAATCTCATTGATAGAGATCAGAGACGGGCGGGACGGGACACGTTTTTGAAGGCCTATCGCGGGACGAGACGGGACGGGATGAATTTATCAAAAACGCGGGACGGGACGGGAAAAATGTTATTGACTGCGGGACGGAACGGGACAAAACTTTATACGAAATTGTCCCGCGATCAATATTCATTGAATTTATATACTTCAGTGACTTATTTACAAGAAAAACGCTAAATATTGTTAGTAACGGTACCTTTTAAAGAACATTTGAATGATCTTGTTCGCTATTTCTTACCTCGAATATATGATCGCTTTTATCCTTATCATCCTCATGAAACCCATACTACGTATATATTCGTAATTGTTCTACAGAAAGAAAGAACGTAAGTCTTTCTTTGCTTTAATAACAATGAACTTGTACTAAGTGAAACAAATAATATTCGAGAACTATGCTGTATATTCGCTTTGTCTACAGCTCCTTTATAAGGTCAAGTTGTAACTGAACGTCGCACTAATTTTTCTCCATCTCAAGTAGATAATATTTTATTTGTTCGATCAATATTATTAAATAGTTATTTTTCTATGAACTAAACTTTTTTCAAATTAATATTTTTTAATTATTGAATATATTTATTTAAAAATAAATAGTTAAAGAAAATAAATAGTAAAAGAAAATTAATAGTGAAATACTACGTAAATCTTTATCGTGTATAAAATAAATTGATAAAAATTTTTGATAAGAGACGGCGGGACGGACGGGACGGGACGGGATGCAACGTTTTTCAGAGTGACGGGACGGGACGGGACGGGATGCAACGTTTCTCAGAGTGACGGGACGGGACGGGACGGGATGCAACGTTTTTCAGAGTGACGGGACAGGACGGGACGTGATGCAACGTTTTTCAGAGTGACGGGACGGGACGGGACGGGATGCAACGTTTCTCAGAGTGACGGGACGGGACGGGACGGGATGCAACGTTTTTCAGAGTGACGGGACAGGACGGGACGGGATGCAACGTTTTTCAGAGTGACGGGACGGGACGGGACGTAAAATAAGAGCGCGGGACACGAGACGGGACGGGACGCTGAAATTTTTTTGAGCGGGAGACGAGACAGTTTGGTATCAACGCGGGACGGGACGGGACAGAAAAATCCTTGTCCCGCCGGTCTCTATTAGAGATGATACCTGATCTCGTCAAATATTGTTTTTTTTAATTGATAAAATCCCAGTATGAATATAGGACATGTTAGCTGGGCTGCGATTCGACCTATTTTTCCTATAAATCCTATATTTTTGACGAATCCTCTAATTTGTCCTATATTTCGACTGCTTTTCCTATTTTACCTATATTTTATCGAAAAACAGAGAAATATAACTGATTTTATAAAAATATGAGAAAATAAGAGATTATTCAAAGAGTATTAGCCGAATTTTACACCGACAAGCTAGTGAGTACTGATAAAGTCGATCTTTATACATTAAAAAAAAGATCGAATATATATATATATATATATATATATGTATGCACATGTATAGACGCTGTCAATTAATACACGTAAGACGGCGATATCTATTGTACGTAATATTATTTGTATTTTCACATCTTCGACGAATTTGCTAAGAAATTATTTAATTAAATCTTCTAAAGATCCAATAGTCAAAAGAATAAAACTAATGTATAGAAAATAATCATATGTTCTGCGAACCTTTTTTCACAGTTTCACGTATGTACAAATGTGCGTATTTTTGTGATAAATTTTAGCAGATAGATGAAACATGTATAAAGGGGGTGATAAAAAAATCATCACTTTTTACTCACGCTAGAAATATCATAATACGAAAGTCCCTATTACCTAGCTCACAAATCCGGTATCTATTCGTCTAAGTCTGGTCCTTTTTTTTTGGTGTTTCCCGTAGGGCGATACTTGGCTCTCAGTACTAGACTCAGGTACTCCCTCATAGAAATCGCTGAAAAAAGGGAGCAGATCTAGACAAGCGGGTGTCAGATTCGTGATCCAGGTGACAAGGACTTTCCTATTATGACATTTCTAACGTGAGTAAAAATTCATGATTTTCGAACATCCTCTCTAACCCTTTGATTACTTGTCACATATATATA